ATTTTTTATAAATATCAGATGAATGATAATTACAACCAAGATTAAACTTCGTAAGCCCCGGGATCAAATGGATATCCTTCGCGAATGTCATTTGGACTTGAAGGTCATTCCTCGGTCCAGTGACCTTTTCGGCCTAGGAGAGTCTTCTATCGGGGACTAGTGGTGGTGGTGGTGGGGTGGGGGGATGGCGAAGGATCTATTACGTGAGTGGCTCAATTTTGTCTGAGTTTTCGCTTACCTGCTGACTGATTCGGAAAAGGTTATCTATCAATGGCAAGGCTTTCATATAGGGCTTAATTGTATCTATAAAATAACGTATAAACAGAAAATATATTAAATAATTGTCAGATTTAATCCATTTCATCACACACACACACACATATATATGTATATAATGGATGGATGGATTTATCATCATCATCATTAAAACTGTTTCGATTCTTGGATAACCCCTGAACTTTTTGAAGTCAGTCTTTCAAAGTAAAACTCTATGGGTTTGTTAGCTGGGCATATGTCTATCGCTAACTACTTTTGCTTCTCGCTCCGGGTGAAACTCCATACATTGAAAGTTCCAAATGAAATGACGTTGGAAGTTCAATAGCATTTTCCGAATATTATCTTTCTCAGTATGCAACGTCATATATAAGTTGTTGCTGCGTAGCAGTAACTGGAGCAGCCATTACCTACTCCTTCGGCTTGGTTGAACGAAGTTAAAAAACAGCCTATTCGTGACTGATTTGAAAGCTGGCTACCATTCATCCTTGCATTGAATACTGTTGTCATATATGGTCTGGTGTCCCGCTGTTCATTTCAACGTCCTCGACAAAATCCAGAGATGGATATGCAATATGATAGGTCCTTATCTGGCATCTCGTCAACAGTAACTTTCTCACAGACGTACTGTGACTTTCCTCTGTTTGTTTTACAAATATTTTCATCTCAACTGCTCTAACGATATATTTTCACTGGTTCCAAAATTGCATGAATTTAAGCATGCTACTAGTTTGGCATCTCGGTCCCAGCTTTTCCACTGTCAAAACAGTTAAATGTAACCGCCTCTTCTACTCCAAGAGCTTCTTATCTCGCACTTCCTGACAGTGGAACTCCCTTCTTCCTACTTGCTTCCTTGATAGCTATAATCTTCAAGTATTCAAATGTAATGTCAATAGACATCTTCTGATGCCTTGATCTCGATCCCCATGCTTATCTTCATCCTTTCCTCAAACACCCCTCTTTACTCTTACTCTCACTCTCTGTAACTGCTTGCGTGTTAGTGGCACTCTCGCCTTGTTTGGAGTGAAATGCTTAAAAAAATGTTTCCGCTTCTCTTTCAATTTAATCTGATAATTAAAGTAGCCATTCTTTTATATTATTCTACCCCTGTCCCATAATGATTGTTCCATTTAATATATAAAATGTGTACATAAATGGAACAATCATTATGGGACAGTGAGGGTCAAATGTTTCGTCTCTTCTTTCAATTTAATCTGATTATTAAAGTAGCCATTCTTCTATATTATTCTACCTCTGTCCCATAATGATTGTTCCATTTAGTCTATAAAATGTGTACATAAATGGAACAATCATTATGGGACAGTGAGGGTCAAATGTTTTCGTCTCTTCTTTCAATTTAATCTGATTATTAAAGTAGCCATTCTTCTATATTATTCTACCTATGTCCCATAATGATTGTTCCATTTAGTCTATAAAATGTGTACATAAATGGAACAATCATTATGGGACAGTGAGGGTCAAATGTTTCGTCTCTTCTTTTCAATTTAATCTGATTATTAAAGTAGCCATTCTTCTATATTATTCTACCTCTGTCCCATAATGATTGTTCCATTTAGTCTATAAAATGTGTACATAAATGGAACAATCATTATGGGACAGTGAGGGTCAAATGTTTCGTCTCTTCTTTCAATTTAATCTGATTATTAAAGTAGCCATTCTTCTATATTATTTACCTCTGTCCCATAATGATTGTTCAATTTAGTCTATAAAATGTGTACATAAATGGAACAATCATTATGGGGACAATGAGGGTCAAATGTTTCGTCTCTTCTTTCAATTTAATCTGATTATTAAAGTAGCCATTCTTCTATATTATTCTACCTATGTCCCATAATGATTGTTCCATTTAGTCTATAAAATGTGTACATAAATGGAACAATCATTATGGGACAGTGAGGGTCAAATGTTTCGTCTCTTCTTTCAATTTAATCTGATTATTAAAGTAGCCATTCTTCTATATTATTCTACCTCTGTCCCATAATGATTGTTCCATTTAGTCTATAAAATGTGTACATAAATGGAACAATCATTATGGGACAGTGAGGGTCAAATGTTTCGTCTCTTCTTTCAATTTAATCTGATTATTAAAGTAGCCATTCTTCTATATTATTCTACCTATGTCCCATAATGATTGTTCCATTTAGTCTATAAATGTGTACATAAATGGAACAATCATTATGGGACAGTGAGGGTCAAATGTTTCGTCTCTTCTTCAATTTAATCTGATTATTAAAGTAGCCATTCTTCTATATTATTCTACCTCTGTCCCATAATGATTGTTCCATTTAGTCTATAAAATGTGTACATAAATGGAACAATCATTATGGGACAGTGAGGGTCAAATGTTTCGTCTCTTCTTTCAATTTAATCTGATTATTAAAGTAGCCATTCTTCTATATTATTCTACCTATGTTCCATAATGATTGTTCCATTTAATCTATGAAATGTGTACATAAATGGAACAATCATTATGGGACACTGAGGGTCAAATGTTTCGTCTCTTCTTTCAATTTAATCTGATTATTAAAGCAGCCATTCTTCTATATTATTCTACCTCTGTCTCATAATGATTGTTCCATTTAATCTATGAAATGTGTACATAAATGGAACAATCATTATGGGACAGAGATGGGAACTCCCTTCCTCCTAATTGCTTCCCTCGTAGTATAATCTTCAAATATTCAAATGTAATGTCAATCGACATTTTCTGATGTCTTAATCCTGATCCCCGTCTTTCTCTATATCCTTTCCTCAAACATCCCTTTTTATTTTTGCTCTCACTCTCTGTAACCCCTTGCGTGCTAGTGGCACTCTCGCATTGTTTGGGGTGAAATGCTTAAAATAAACAAACAAAAAAACATTATAGATCAAAGCATCTATTGTAAAATGTATGGTTTTATGTGATTGTGCCAGTCGAATAAATAATCTTTGTAAAAAACACCCAGAAGTGAACTGGAGCAAGTAATGGCTGCTTAATATTAACGCTCTTACCCTTTATTAATCACCATAAAAGAACATTTTCTGCTTTACATGGCCGTTGTTAACGTCAAGAATAAAAACACGCTGCACCTTCTTGGCCTCACGTTTTTCACTGACATGTAATGGAATGATTATAGTGAATCAATTGCTAAGAAATTCGATTCACAATGCTGTGCTGGACAGTCTTTCTCGCAAGTATCTATCTTGTATATTTATAAGTCTGCTTTTCGTTCGTGTATCAAATATTGCTGCAACATCGGGACTAGTGCTTCTGCTATGCACCCAGAGATTCTTGATAAAATACAAAGAAGAATCTGCAATGTTAATTATCATAACCTGGGAGCTCGGCTTCAGACATTTTTGCCACCGTCGTAGCGTAGCTTCCATAAGCCTCTTCTATAATTTTTTTTCTGTTGAGATTTCCGTGTTAGTACCTCGACTTAATGAATTTAAACGCAGTACTAGATTGTCAGTTAGGTCTCCTAATTCCACTACTGAAATTGCTTGTGGTAAACCTATGTTCTATGCTAACCGTTTCTTCTCTTGCCGTTCTCAATTCCGATTTCCTGATTTCCTGTCAATAAAGTCTTCAACATTTAAATGCAATTCCAATCGTAACTTTGTTGTGTTCTTGAATCCGGTTCTCTTATTGACTTCTTGGTCGCTTTCACTCTCAGCATCCACCTTGCCTTCTAGTGGTTTTAATACCTTACTTGAGGTAAAATGGCTACAAAAAATAAACAATGAAAACCAAAATGTTCTTATATATATATATATATATATATATATATATATATAAAGAGTTATTTTTAGTTACTCTTATTTGAGTAGACGCACCGTTTATTTATTAAACAGTAAATTATTCATTTTAGTCTACCGGTTCGAATGTTCAATGGATTGTATTAAAGAAAAAAGACGCTCTGCGGCAGGATTCGAACCTGCGTCCGCCCCGGGGCAGAGGAAAACGTCGTTGGATCCAACGTGGCTTGACCAACTCGGCCAAGAAGAAGCTCTGCCGGTGAAGCCAGGTTTGAACAGTACTTCTTTTAATCAAAATCATACTCGTCATAGATTCCTCAAAATCTCCCTATCTACTCCCACGAAAACTGAGCCACACCGTGTGCTACCCCGCCTCATTAAGTCAGGAGAATAGTGGGAGGGAGCCAAAGAATCAAATTTCTAACTGGGAATTACGAGTACTTTAAACATTTTGGGATAACAAAACACACCATATGACTAAAGCAAGTTTAAAAAATGTTGTCAATTTATGAAGTGAAATGATTCGATCGTTTATAACAAGACTTTTTGGACATTATCGGCATATTTCCCAAATAACCGGATGATGACCGTGATAATTCTGATTAAGATAATCACAATTTGAATTGTTCATAGCCTTGTTTCTTTGATTTGGTATCGCAATATTGAATTCAAGCAGGTCAGCCAGTCATTATCCACGTTTCCGGAAGGGTTTTCTTAAATTGGAAGCAATTTCAATATTTTCGATATCAAGGTCAGAGGACTGGAGAAATATTCAGAATGTTTGTTCTATGTTCAGGTTAATTTAGATAGAGTTATCTCTCTGAGACATAGCGGACACACAAAAGTTCCTTTCTTCGTGCTTTTTGCCTCTGTGTGTCTGTATGCAATTAAGAATTGCCTGGAAGCCTTTATTCAGCACAGTGATAGATGCGGGCGGTTGTATTGGAAATTGCTAGACAATTTTTGATATGACAGGAAATAACTTTTGCGTTATTCTTATTACTATCTTTATTCTTATTATTTTTCTTGTTATTATTATCTTTATTCTTATTGCTATCTTTATTGTTATTACTATCATTATTGTTATTACTATCTTTCTTGTTATTACTGTCTTTATTCTTATTGCTATCTTTATTGTTATTACTATCATTATTGTTATTACTATCTTTCTTGTTATTACTGTCTTTATTCTTATTGCTATCTTTATTGTTATTACTATCATTATTGTTATTACTATCTTTCATGTTATTACTGTCTTTATTCTTATTGCTATCTTTATTGTTATTACTATCATTATTGTTATTACTATCTTTATTCTCATTACTATCTTTATTCTCATTACTATCTTTATTCTTATTGCTAACTTTATAGTTATTGCTATCTTTCTAGTTATTACTATCGTTATTCTTATTAGTATATTTCTTGTTATTACTATCTTTATTGCTATTGCTATCTTTATTGTTATTACTATCTTTATTTTTATTATTATTTTTATTCTTATTACTGGTATCTTTATTCTGATTGCTATCTTTATTCTTATTGCTATGTTTATTGTTATTACTATCTTTATTGTATTGCTATCTTTATTCTTATTCTCCAAGGAAAAAGTGATTGATAGTGACATGTTTCTTTACTGGTTGAAGCAATTATTTAGTATATACTGGAACAAGTTTTAAAATGCTAGGGAATCAAAGAGAATTAAACTCCTTATAATGTACAAAAGCTCTTAGCAAGGATGTTCAAAAATATCCGAACGGAGAGGCGTTTAATACAATTACGTTTCACTGTAACTGAAATGTTTCAATTTTTTAAATCATTTTCTTAACTGAAATAGCAACATATTTATTTTACCTTTTAATTATATGGATAACGAGCTCTCAACCATTATTGTTAATTTTGAACTAGTTTTTGTTTTTATATCTCTTTTTTATTATTAAGCAACGTCGAGTCTGGCCAGTACCTAGATGGGTGACCACTTGAGAATACCAGGTGCTGTAAGCTTGGATGTATGGATGGTATAATGGATAATGGTTCGGAATTATTAATTGGAGAGCGGAGTTCCAATTCCAGTCGGGTTCGTTATATTTATCTACGCGCAAATACCTTTTGGAAAGATATGAATCCCCCTCTTCTCCCACCAGCTATAGGTTAATTAGTAAGATTTGTATCACTAAAACATTATTATCTCCCCTGCACCACTAAAATAACAAAAGAGAAAATAAGTAAAATCTTTCAACCTAAAATATTTTCTGGCTTTAAATAACACTGTACCAAGAAACAAATCCATTTTATAGCTAATTTTATGGTGCTGATTTCGTGGTTACCTACTGTTTTTGCTGTACTGAAATTGCTCATTTTTGATAAAAAGATCAATTTACGATCTTGGCTGATCGCAAAATTTACTTAATAAATATCGTAAAAACTCATCAATTTTCAGGAGCAATTTATGTCTGCCACTTGAAATAAACTATTTTTATAAGAAAAAGTGTTTTTTAAAATAGATGTACCGAATTTTTCCAATTTATCGCCAAAATTCAAATTAACTGATAAACTTTATCAGTAATACACTTTAGTAAACCTGATAATTAATTTGACACCAAAAAAATGAAACCCTAAAATGATATTTATAAATTTATCCCATCACTTTTATCCCTTCACTACGTAAGGAAACCAAGCATATTGAGAGCATTTTGTTTTCATAGTTGGAAAGAAACTCCAGTTAAAGACATCCCAATTGAATGCACCTGTTCTATTGTACATGATACTGCTGGAATATCAAAAGGGACTTAAATAACATTAAACATGACGGACAATCAAGAAAGAGGAAATTTTTACTATAGTTCTTATGTTTACGAAGGTTTTATTTCTGCTGTTTGTTTATTAAATGATTTGATGAAAATACTTGTTGGTCTTGGTATATTCAATCGTGTTATTTTTAAGGACTTACGGTCTGATTGTTATTGTAAAAATAGTATTTCTCAATAAGCAGACCAATATTTGTTTGTTTAAATACGAATTGAGAGGTTTCTATGATTTTATTTTGAGAAATATTGCCTTCGGTCAATACCATATATATAGAAAACAAATGAAAAAAATAATTTTTTTTTCCAAAAATGAGGCATTTCTGTATAGCAAAAATGGTAGCTTACCAAGAAAAAGTAAGGTCATTTTCAAATTAGCTAAAAATGATGTTTGGTGTTTCAACAAGATTTCAAAAATTTTCTTTTTTAACCAGTGTAATCTGCAAATGGTTGATAAGCCGTAGAAAACGAACCAATCAATAAAAAAAAAATCATATTTATTAAAAGAAGAATTTTCGAATAATATTATTAAGTTTTTGGAGAGTATTTACTTTCACCTTCATTTTTATTAGCGGAAGCATTTTTAACTCTTATTTTAAATTTTTAACTAGTGTTTACATCTCACGTTTTTATTGTGAAGCTACGTCGGGCCTGTTCATTATCTAAATGCGTGACCGCTTGGGTACACCAGATGCTGTAAGCTTGGATGTGAGGGTGATGCAATGGATAATGGCTCGGAATTGTTAATCTGAGAGTCGAGTTCTAATTCCAGTCGGGTTCGTTATATTCATTTACGTGCAAATACCCTTGGGAAACGTATGAATCCACCTTTTCTCATACCAGCTTTGGATTAATTACTAAAACTTGTATGACTAAGTATAAAAAAATTCTTAAAATTTAAAAATATTTTCTGGCTTTAAATAACCTGCTTTAAATAAGTGCTTGATAAGGCGTAGAAAGCGAATCAATAAAAAAAATCGTTTTTGTTAGATAAAGAATTTTCAAATACTATTATTAATTTTTGATTAGGATTTACTTCATGTTTAATGGAGGAAGTATTTACAACCATTTTTATTATTTTTTTACGTTCAACATCATCTTTATTAGAGGAAGCATTTTAAACTATTATTATCAATTTTTGACGAGTATTTACGGTAAACATCATTTCAATTAGATGAAAGATTGACGATCATTATTATCCATTTTTGACTAGCATTTACTTTTATCATTATTTTGCTTTATGAGATGAGGCATTTTTTGACTATTATTAGATATTTTGATTATTCTATACTTTCATCTTCATTTTTATTAGCGGAAGCATTTTAGAACATTATTAATATTTGAACAATATACACTTTCATTTTCTTTTATATTACGCTTGGCGCTGTCAACCACTATTATCAATTTTTGACTAATTTTTACTTTGGTCTTAATTTCTTAACTACATTTTATCGGAAATTAACGAAGACCATCAATATACAGCTTTGAGAAGACAGCGCTAGATTTGAAATAATAGATGAGCTTTCATTGAGATATGGCTGTGAGATATGGCTGTGAGATGTGACGTCGAGATATTGTGAGATCATGAAATGAATAGATGAGTTATAATTCTTCATAACAAACAGACAAGTTATCGTACTTTAGTGATTAAGCTTTTTGGTCCCTGAAACAAAAAGAATATCTGAGAATTTCAACGAGTAGTGATCCATTTTTCCTGTTCCTACTGAAGAAAGAAAACAACCCTTTTATATTATCTTTTGGGTTTCTCCTTTGTATTTTGATCGTACCACACGCTAGACATTAGTTTCATGTTGTCAAAGTAGATTTAAGTCGCAAAGTATTATATGTTTACCGTTTAGCAACAGAGATTTCGTCTTGCATCTTATTGTTTTAAGCGATGTTCTTAAATGACATCGTCAGATCGAGATGTTCATATAAATGACGCCAAACTCGTTCAAATATTTTTTGCCTTCCATCAACCTGGCTGATGCTAACCTCCAGTAGAGTGACTCACTGTGTCTTCTCGGGCATTGCTTACCGCAGACATTAACTGGAAAGATTATATTGAATCAATGGCTAGGTCTTCTGCTAGGAAATTTGGTTCATTTTTTCGGGCCAGACAATTTTTCCCGCCAAACTCTATCTTGCATATCTATGTGTATCATTCGTCTCCGCATTCAATATTGCTGGTCTGGCAATTCGGTTATGTATATAGAGATTCTTTATAAAAATACAAGGAAAATCTGCAATGTTATATGTCCTGACATGACATCTCGGTTTCAATCACTTTTCCGGTGCCGTCAGGTAGCTTTTCTGCTTTTTCTATTAATATTTTCATGGTAATTATTCTAACGAGTTTTCCTCATTGGTACTTGGACTTTAAGCGCAGTACTAGATTGGCAGCAAGGTCTCGTTATTTTACAGTTGAAATGACTCGACATAACCGTAAGTTCTATGCTAACAGTTTCTTCTCTCGCACTTCTCAATTGTGGATCTCAACTTGAAGAACGGTCAACTTTGATCTTCAAAAATTTAAATGCAGTGCCAATCGTTATGTTCTGCCTTCTTATTTCTTATTCTTTTATTGTCATACCAACTTAATACTTTCTTTTTCTCATATTCTTTCACACTCAGTAACCTCTTCCATTTTACTCGCTCATATACATTGCTGGGGGTGAAGTTATTAATACATACATATATACATACACATACATACATATATATATATATATATATATATATATATATATATATATAATGTACGCTACAGTTCAAAAATTTGACGCAACCCCTGTTAATATTTTTAAATTGTCAAAAAAGTGAGACATGATATTTTATTAGAAATATTATTATGACAAAAAGAAAAAAAGCATTTTATGATTAAATTTTGCTCTCGTCAAAATATCCTCCTTTAGCCTTGATTACTGCAGCACAAAATTTTGGCATTCGTTGCAAACGTTTCTCAAAGTATAAGTATGTTAATTGATTCCATTCTTTTTTTTTTGCATTTTTTTTACTGTTTTTTGAAGTTCATCGCATGCTAAATCCTAGGGTGGTTTCAAACTCTTGAACTGTAGTGTATATATATGTAATATATATATATATATATATATATGTATATATGCAATTTTTATATATATTATTTATATATTATATATGCGCGGTACTTATTGGAAAGCGCTCAATATCAGTGATAGAGCTAACATATTTAGTTGGATTGATGTGAGTTTTTGACACTGGGTTTCACGCTATCTGCGATCATCAGACAAACTCTGAAAATGTCTGACGATCGCAGATAGCGTGAAACCCAGGGTCGCAAACTCACATCAATCCAACCAAATACATATATATATATATACTCGACTCTCCCGTCGATATTCGACGTATGAGGGTCAAGCAGATCAGTTCCTAGGAAACCGACAGATCAGTTCTTAGGAAACCGACAGCCCGACAATAGCACATGAGATTTGATTATAGTGGTGAAGGTTTCGTGCATGACCATCTACACCGAATACAGAGACCCGGTGCACTGAGTGCCACAAGGTCCACAAACGACTCTCTGAAAGTTTTGAATTCAGAGTTGTTCTTCTCCTAGACCAGTTGCCATCCAAGGCTATAGAACCCAGTCTGTCATGCTATTTATCCATAACTGGAGGGAGAAGAGAGAGGATTCACACTTTTTACGAGGGTATTAGCACAAAAGTGAATGTAATGGATTCGACTGGAATTCGAACTCGGCTCTCCGATTCCTCAATCCAAGCCTCTATCCATTACTCCACCGTATGGGGGTGGATATGTATATTTGGGCAGAAATCTTTCTTTCAAACATGTTTCGTTGAACATGAGAAAAAATGAAAATTTGATAAATTTTTACT